AAAAATAAACATTATCTATTCACTACAGAAAAGCAAACCTCCCAAGTGAGTTTCCTACCTGCGTCTGTGAAATGCTAGAATTTCCACCAGCAGAGCAGGAACTTGTGAATAGTGGGTAGGTGAACTGCAAAGCAGTAGCCGCAGCAGTTTTATTTTTCACTAATGTCGTACATTTGTTTTGTTGCTGATGAAGAGGGACATTTATTAATTCAGATGGATGTCGGATAAGAGTTACCAAACTGCCAAGACAAAAAAAAAAAAAAAAAAAAAAAATCCAGAAAGCTTTAAAGAACAGGCAGCAGAAAGATTCCAGAAACAAGGCTATCACTTACTATCACCCTAACAGATCATCTTAGACCAGTGGTGGTGAACCTACATCTTACTACAGCAAGCTATCTGTATCATGGAAAGCTCTAGAAAGTTCGCCATGACTTCCTCAGATTCTGGAAAGGACTTTTGTAAACACATCCTCACAAGAGATTTATTTACAACTGCCACTCAGTGTTGCCACAGAAAGATCTACTCGCGCCTCCCTTCTCCCTGACCCCACTCTTGTCATTCTCCAAACCCTAGTGAGGACAGGCAACAGGAGGGCCACTGCCTGCGGATGGCACTGGCTGCCTCCTCCGCAGCCGCCCCTGCAAGTCACTAAGTGGGTCACAAGCTGCTGCAGGATATGGCCTTGTCTTGTAGCTCCAAATCTCCAGACTCCTAACCTTCCCTCCCCAGGCCCCGACTGTCCCACACCCCACCCTAAGGCAGTCCTTGGGGAGGCAGCGAGGCTTTGAGGCTTTCTGCGGCACTTAGGAGGGTGACAAAAGCCAAGCATCTTCAGAGGCACTTGTCCCAGTTCTGATTTTGAGCGCAGCGCCAGATGGAGGGCTTACACCTCCACAGGGGCCACCCATGGCTGGGAACTCAGCACCTGGGAGAGCACACCTTTCAGGTCACCCTGGACCCGGGGTCTGCCGCCTGCGGAGACGCGAGTCAGAGCGCGCTGCTGCCTTGTGTGCTGGAGCCCGGTGTCCACTACGCCTAGGTCTGGCATATAAAAACCTTCCGAACCTTCACCGTGACCAAAGCACCTTAGCTCTAGTCTCGCCCCAGGCTTGACAGGCGTTCAGGCTGCTCCCCCATCTCCACAAACCCGCAGGCGGCCAGGCTGCCCCCCGTGCCCCTTTACACGCGCAGGCGACCCTCTTCGCCGCGCTCGGGCACGCACTTGTTGAGCGCCACGCCGGGCTCGGGGGGCTCCGGGCCGCGCGTGGGCGCGGGCGGCTCGGCCGGGATGCTGTTGAAGCGGTCCTCCAGGCGGACGCGCACGGCGGGCTTGGCCCGGGCTTCGGGGGCGCCCTCGGACC